TATATATATATATATGTATGTATGTATATATACATGCAATTCACACAGCATCCATGCATGAGTGAATTCCCATATACTACATATATTATTTGTTTAAAAAAAATTTAAATGGCTGCACCTCTCGAGGCTGGCGGCCTCTGTCACCTCCATCTCCCCATGTTTGTTTGTTTATGTTTCTCTTGGACGGGCTGTACTGAAATGTAATTTCGCTGTGCTTCGGTGCAATGACAACAAAACTGATTCTGATTTCGGGTATGGTATTTGCTGAGGTATGTCTGTAGCTGTGTGTGTTTGCTATTGTGGCCATCATTAGTGACCTGAGTTCAGCAGACTGATAGGTCATGGGATGAATATGTATATGAATATATATGTATTTATAAATATAAACACACACACAAACAAGATTGTCTAGAAACCATTAAGAAAGTACCACTAAAAGCCAATTTAGCTCACCTTAAAGTAATGTTTAGGGATGAATAATGTATGAGCATCTACATTTTCCTGAAAACCTAAAACTTAACTGATCCAAAGTTTTATATGAAACATAATATTAAACATATTTTTGATTTACTTCATTTTGTATATTGCGTCGTGTGTTGTCTGTTGTTCTGTCTGTACAGCACTTTGGTTGGCCTTGTAGCTGTTTTAAGTGCTCTATAAATAAAATGGTATGGTATGGTATGGTATGGTATGCTGAGGCATTATGTCACTATCATAACCATCACCCTAGAAAGTAAAGCATTCCATACCTTGTTAATGGAAATAAATGTGTACAATTGTGTTCAAATGGGTGTTTTCATGAACTGTGTTCAAATGTTTTAAGAGATACATCCACAGCTTCGGCACCGAAGCCATAAACATGGTTTATGAACAACATAGCCTTCAGGTTATAAAAGCAGGGGCAAACTAAACAAACAGTACCACACAAAAGTATAGAGGTTTCATATCTATTGTAGCTGGGTGGGGGTGGGTCACACTGGTATGATGTTTTTGAGAATATGTTGT